AAAAAAAAAAAAAAAAAAATCTTTTTGCTCATTAGGTGAGAAAACCACTCATAAACTGCATTTTTAAGGTAGACAGATAATCCTCCTCCAATTCCTGTCTAGTTCAGCCACAACGAACCTAATAAAGATCGCAATATCATATCAGAAATATTCTTACATATCATGGAATAAATGTTATGCATTCTATTCAGGATGTTCTTATTGGCATTTGGGAAAATCTAACAAGCCAAAGTATTATGTCCATTTGGGTAAAGGATAACAGTTAATGCTCTAATGATATCGAGTTTAATTTCTACTAGGGAGGGATTCAGAGGACAATCATCTATGTATTTTTAAATGTGTACTTACAGCTAGTGACTGATGAAGTGCCATCAACATTTTTTATTTAAGTAATGTCTAATACTGGAGGCAGGAGAAGATTCATGAATCTCTTTATTTTATTGATTTGGTAGCAGAGAATACACAGCTTAGTAGCTGATTGTGCTAAGCACCAAAGATCTAGAAAGCAGAGTGTTACACTGACATGGAACGTTTGCAGCAAAGGGTAGACCATGTGTGGATCAGCAACTTTTGTTTTTCAAGATCGGGCAACAGAGCCTTCATCTGCTTAAATCTCACGATGGATGCAAACTGATGTTTAGCAAGTTACACTTACACTTCTTTCAAATCTTCTTTATTGTGTTTTACTTTTATTGTATTTATTTTGAGATAGAGTCTGATGCTGTTGCTCTGGGTAGAGTGAAGTGGCCTCATCTTAGCTCACTATAACCTCACACTCCTGGGCTCAAGCATCCTTCTGTCTCAGTCTCTCCAGTAGGTGGGATTACAGGTGTCTGTTATTAATACCCAGTTAATTTTTCTATTTAGTAGATATGGGTCTCACTCCTGCTGTCGTTGGTCTTGAACTCTTGCTCTCAAGGAATCCATCCAACCTAGGCCTCCCAGAGTGCTAGGATTACAGGTGTAAGGGACTGTGCCTGGCCTATTTTTACTTTTTTAAGAGATACTCTGTTGTCTAGGTTGGGTGCAATGGTATGACCATAGCTCACTGTAACCTGGAACCCCTGGGCTCAAGCAATCCTCCCATTTCAGCCTCCAAGTAGCTGGAATTACAGGAGCAAGTCACTTTGCCAACAGAGCTTCTTTAAATATTATAGCTTATGACTTGAGTGCTGGGAGCAAAGAAATAAATATTTTGGGCTGGGCATGGTAGCTCATACCTGTAATCCTAGCAATCTGAAAAGGCCAAGGCACGTGGATTGTTTGAGCTCAGGAGTTCAAGACCAGCGTGAGCAAGAACAAGATCCCATCTCTACTAAAAATAGAAAAACTAGCTGGGCATTGTGGCAGGCTCCCGTAATCCTAGCTACTTGGGAGGCTTAAGCAAGAGGATTGATTGAGTCCAAGAGTTTGAGGTTGCTGAGAGCTATGATGATGCCATGGCACTCTACCCAGGGTAACAGAATACGACTGTCTTAAAAAAAAATTTTTTTTTGGTATCTATATAGCTAAATAGCCACATTGAAATGCTAGACAGAGTTAGGAATCTGAATGAGATTCATTACTTCTTCTAGTCCTTTGATATCAGCAAACTCTACTCCATGAAGAAATGAGATGAGAACTTAAGATTATATGGACCTAAAGATATGAAGCAACAGACCTAATTAAAACTGTCATCTATTATTATGAAGAAGTATTCTGTAAGAGCAAATGATAAAAAACAGTAATGGCACATAAATAGGATCCTTTTGTGGACAGAGGCCCACAATTTAGACATACAAGTGACTTTTGTGGGAGAGTAAAATTACTTTACTTTATTTTATTTTTATTAAATGAGTGGACAGAACAAGAAAGGCAAGTAGAATTTTATTTTTGTTGTTGTTGAAGTTTTTGGCTGGGGCTGGGTTTGAACCTGCCACCTCCAAAATTATGGGGTCAGCACCCTACTCCTTGAGCCACAGGCGCCGCCTTAAAATATCTTTTGAAAAGATAAACCTTTTCACCAAAATCAAGTAGTAAAATAATCTGACAAACCAAAGGACATACAGTTTAGAGATAGGAAGGGTGGGTGGATAGAAACCAGGGGGATTTCCACCCATCTTCACATACTAACAATTAGTCTGAGTAATAAAAGTCAATAAAAACAAGTTGGGCAGAACATGGTGACTCATGTCATAATCTAAGCACACTCTGGAAGGCCAACATGGGAGACCTACTTTATGCCAGGAATTTGAGACCAGCCTGGGCAACAGCCAGACCCTATCTCTATAAACAAACAAACAAACAAACAAACAACAACAAAAATCAACCAGATGTGGTATTGCATACCTCTAATTCCAGCTACTCAAGAAGGAATTAGGATCACTTAGCCCAGGAGTTCTGAGGCTACAGCGAGCTATGATGACACCACTGCACTCTAGCCAAGGCAACAGAGTGAGATTCTGTTTCTTTTTTTTTGAGACGGGCCTCAAGCTGTCCCCCTGGGTAGAGTGCCGTGGCATCACAACTCATAGCAACCTCCAACTCCTGGGCTCAAGTGAGTCTCCTGCCTCTGCCTCCCAAGTAGCTGGGACCACAGGCGCCCACTACAACGCCTGGCTATTTTTTGGTTGCAGCCGTCATTGTTGTTTGGCGGGCCTGGGCTGGATTTGAACCTGCCACCTTAGGTGTATGTGGCTGGCGCCATAGCCACTTGAGCCACAGGTGCCAAGCCGAGATTCTGTTTCAATGAGAAAACAAAATAACAAAACAAAACAAAAACAAAGAAAAAACAAACAAACAAAAAACCCAAACTAATCATTTTGATACATTTAACAAGAAGCAAAGTTTTGGCTCAAATAATCAGACTTTAAAAATGAAGAGTCTATTAATTTTCTAATTGTAACCAACTTTAGTGATTGACCATTATAAACAAAAAATAACCCAGAAAGTAGCTTTACAGAAGAAAAATCTGATGGATTTCAGGTAAGGCAGACAAAAAAAAAAGAGGAACGAGCAAGCAAACCAAAAAACCCAAGTAATAAATAAATGAAGAAGGACGGGAAAGGAAGGCAGACAGACATACAGACAGGTACGAAGGCCATGAATGTGGCAGAAACAGCACTGGGCTTGGTTCCAGATCAGACCTGGCATAATAGAGCAATTAACTTAGCTCTTTTAAAACTTAGTTTCCCCATTGCACACAACATTGTGATCCTAGAACTGAATTATCTATATGGTCCCTTAGTTCCGAAATGCTAAGAGTTTATTACAGGGGAGGAAGGAAGAAAAGAATTCAGTGGCTGTAATATCTGGAAGAAAGTAGATTTTAAGTTGTGCCCTGGCCTTAACAGCTAAAATGCTGGTAATGGGGCAGGACCACAGGCAAATGCTGAGGCAGTACTTCTTGAACTCTACCCCAAGAATTACCTGGGATGTTTATTAACACACTGACTGGCTGGGCCCCAGCCTGGGGAGTTTTTCAGGCAGGTCTAGGGTGAGACTCTAGTGTTTGCATTTTCTACATGTTCCCCAAAGATGCTGCTGGTCTGGGACCACACTTGGAGAAACACTGGCCTAGAGTAAGTGGCAGAGGGCAAATGAACATGGTTATGGGGGGCGGGGGGAGGAGTTGTCTAGACAACTCTCATTTCTTGGGGGGAGGGGAAGAAATTGATTACCTGTAAGATGAATCATAAATAAATGCTAAAATAATTTGGTTCCTTTTCTAACCAAACCCTTGATTTTGACCAAAGCTTAATAATGGAATATAGTTATTTTACATAATGGTTTATAATGTGAATTAGGTATCATACTTGCTAAATTCTTTAAAACTTGAACAAATACTAGACATATATAAACGGAAATATAAAACTGGAATCATAAACTGGGCCTTCTACTTATAGATTTTGAACACCACAGAATAGTTACATCATTTGATTTTTTAAAAAAGGAAATCCATGCTAACACTAGTTAATCCAAGGAAAACACTAGGAAATCCAAGCACACTTTTTCTTATACAATGATGTGTTTTATAAGTGAAATTTTCAGATAATGAAACTTTAAACAAAAAACTTTCTCACATTTTAATCATTTTAGAAGACTATCTTTCTATATAGAAAACAGGACTTTCATTACCCACTGTTGTCATAACATACATAATAGTCTAAGTTCTATAATGAGTAACACCTCTGGGGTCAATAAGAGTTGCATGAAACCATTCATTCTGATACCAAAAGAGCCCAGAGTTCTGCAGTTTTGCCATCTCTGCTGACTTGTTCATTTCAGGCCCACTTGAGCTATCAGCTATTATTATTATTTCTTAGTGTATTTACCTTTCAGCTGCTTGTTAGATTGGTATACTTTTCTCACTTGAACTTACCAGTGACTACAGAATGGAATATGCTTGTAGGCTTGAGATGACTTTTATATGGTTGGTTATTCACTCCCAGATTTTCAGGTTGGCTGAGTTGTTGCTGACAGTAGGGGAGTGGAGTGCCACTAGACTGTGGGTCTTTTGTTAATATAGTCGGCTGTACCAAAGGCATAGAAGTGCTTAGGGCATGTTACTATAATCAGTGAAAGAGTTATAGTTCTGTTCACTTACAGGGTAATGTAGATTAGATTGTTCTTTTCCAAACTCTCAAAAACTTACCAACTTTGGAATACTATGTGAACATTCTAAATGTTTCACTATCTTACATTCAACTTGTTTGAAAGCAGAAAGTTTTACAGAGCAACAAAATTCAAGTCTGCTAACAAGGTAAAGAAGAAATGTAAAGTGAGTCTCATGAGCAAAAAGAGCAATCTTCTATGAACTGATCACAAGGGAATTCCTAGTGTTGGTATCTTGATATTATTGCTCGAAGTTATATAAAGATCACATTTACTGACCTGGGGAATGCTGGGAAGTTGCAAGTGAGGTCATGGAATTAGAGAGGTTAAGGTTGGCAGTGATACTAAGTTGGCTCTGCAGTGCAGGAGGGTAAGGAGATGTGGGTGTCAGGAGGGACTCCTCACTGGTTTCTTCATCAATTCCAGGCAAGTACGTGTCAATCAAGGCATCAAGAAACTTAACAATAAGCTCAGCATAGTCTGGAATTTGTGTTTGCTGTAATGGAAAATAGGAAATTATTTTAGCTCCATTTTTTTTTTTTTTTTTGTAAATCCCCTCTGAAGCCAACAAAAATTAATTCGATTTTTGTTTGGGGCTTAATTTATTATTTTTCTTCCTTTGTTTGTATCACTGATCACTAAAAAAAAAAAAAAAAAAAGGAGAGGAGTAATATTTAGGGACTACCCCAGGACTTACAACTGGGGGTTCTATTCAGCTTACAGTTAAAAGCTTCCAGATGAGCCTGCAATTTCTGAAAGCCATGTACAAGACAGACTAAATCTAATACTGAGACAATATAATCATCAAGAATGACGTGTAGCCAATTTTCCAAAACTGGGAAAATGAGCAAAACATCATCATTTCAATTGCCATGAGGATATATTCCATCACTAGACTCTCTAAAGGGCTCAGAGGGTTGCTGGCAATCTAACTACAAAAGCTCCTTTATGATATAACCTACTTCTGTGACTTCAGGTCCCCCCTTTTAGTGACAGCCTTTACATGTCCTTAGATACACAATAGTGGCAAAATGAAATAAACTAAATATTCAGTTCTTAAAATTGGAACAAGTTTTAGATAATTCATATTGCTATCGTACCCCCATACTTAGAATACTGCACTAGGAACTATCTGAGGGAACAAACCGAAGTCCTGCCTTCAAGGAACTTCAATCATTTCGGAGAAAGACCACATACAGAGAAAATAATTAAACACGCACTAGGAAGCACTACCAGAACTACTGCCAATAAAGAACAAACTGAATGGGAGCGAGTTAGAGAGGGATGAGTCTAATTCCACAGATTAGAAGCAGAAATGTGTTCATGAGGCAGACTTTAACCACAGACTTCTATGTTCCTTGCTGGGCTCAAGTTAAATGTGTGCATTAAGACTATCAAATACATCAGGGACTGAGAAAGTTTTACACAGGTTTATCATACCATTCTGAAAAGTCAAGCGTAAACTGAGGGTTCTTTTTACAAAAATGAAAATACAGACATATTAAAGATGCTCTGCTTGAATAAATCCTGTGGTGAAAAGTTTTTCATAAAAATAACATGCTTATCGTGAGTCATTGCTCTGGTTTGCAGCATACTGTATGTTTGTTCTTAAAGCAGGCATGCTAAGTGGATAGAAATTTTTTGGTCAAAAGTAAAAAAAAATGTATTTTCTTACCTTTGAAAAGGGTCCTGCAAACCTCCATAAGCCATTAAAACCAAAACCTGTAACAAATCAAATGTCACTCTTATAATAGGACAGCTTTTTTGATCATAATAAAATTAAATAAGTTGTATAGCTGATATATAAAACCAATGCACACACAGAAACTTTTTTTTTAGAATGAATGTCTACAGCAGACTAAATCTTACTTAAAATTTACTCAGTATAAAACCACACTGTAATGTAAACAAGCTGTCAACCAGTATACTGAATATATAATTGAGAATTAGAAAATAGCACTTGGAAAGGAAAGTATGAAGAATCCTATCCTTTATAAGGAACTCTATAGTCAGCACATTCTACAATCGCCTGCGTGTTATTAAGTTCAACTGTCCTTCTCCCGATACATTTATTTACTTTGCAGGTAAGACGTTTGGTATTGTGGTGGGGACTCTTCATGGTACACCACACTCTGTACGATTCCGTGGATCGGATTTAACAAATTTGGATCTTGGCACAATGACAACAGGGTGTTGATCTTAGAGTCCAACAAATTGTGCCTAAAGAAATAAAAGTCAACAGAGGAATATTTTAGAAGAAAACTAAATTAAAATACATACTGGAAAACACAATACATATTATCCAGAACAACGTGGCAAAAATGAAGGGAGGTAAGTACTTTTTACTTTCTGGTGCATTTCTAAATTTTCTATAATGAACGCGTGTGTGTTGGCTTTTTTAGTTTGTCTTTTGTTTTGTTTTTAGTCATCAGGGAAAATGTAGTAAAAACAAAAAACTAATAGTGTCATATAACCATGTTTTAACTGTATGTGGTGAATGTTTGCTCAAGACAAGCTTGGCTCTGTCTGCTACTTAGCATGCTTTAGGATTATTTCTTTCTACTGCTGGTATGTACACAGGCAATTAAAACCAAATTTAATATTAATCAGTGCTTAATAAATGCTAAAGAAGATCAAATAAGGAAAGCAAAACTAGTTTAGAGGGGATGGAGAATGGGGGTTGGTATGACCCAACTGAAACTTAGGAAAAAATTAACTATTTCTAACCCAGCTATACTCCACTAATAAAAATAACTGAGACCCAACTATATAAAACTCTGAAATGAAAAAAAAAATGAGATGGGCTCAGCGCACGTAGCACAGTGGTTATGGCACCAGCCATATGCACTGAGGCTGGTGGGTTCGAACCTGGGCCAGCTAAACAACAACAACAACTGCAACAAAGGATGGCTGGGCATTGTGGCAGGTGCCTATAGTCCCAGCTACTTGGGAGCCTGAGGCAAGAGAATTGCTTAAGCCCAAGAGTTTGAGGTTGCTGTGAGCTGTGATGCCACAGCACTCTACGGAGAGTGACATAGTGAGACTGACTCAAAAAAAAAAAAAAAGAGAGAGATAGATTAATCAAATTAAAGAAAACAATGATACAACATAGAAGGCCTAGATCAGGAATATAATCTCCCAAGTTTCTCTAGTCTATTTAAAATTGAACACTATTTTAGCCTTTTATTTATTTATTTTGGAGACAGAGTCTCACACTGTCACCCTTGATAGAGTGTGGTGGCATGTTAGCTCACAGCAATCTCAAATTCTTGAGCTCAAGCAATCCTCTTGCATCAGTCTCCCAAGCATTTGGGACAACAGGTGCCTGCCACAATGCCCAGCTATTTTTTTTTTTTTTTTTCTTTTCTATTTTTAGTAGAGATGGAGTCTTGCTCTTGCTCAGGGTAGTCTTGAACTCCTGAGCTCAAGCAATCCACAGCCTTGGCCTCCCAAAGTGCTAGGATTACTGACATGAACCACTGTTCCCAGCTTATTTTAGCCTTTTAATGGAGAATAATTCACCTCCCAAATAGGAGGTTAGTTTTATTTTCACTCTGCAGTGGATAAATACAAAAGCTCTACCAAAAAAGGTAGGATGACTTAAATACAACAGTCTAACAGTTTGCTCCTAAATGAGGAAAATGAACAATGTTTATCCAGACAAACCACTTAAATCAAAAAGATTCGAAAATGTCTTTCCTAATAAGTCAAAGCTAGTTTTAGCCCTCATTAAAACCACTATCTTGCTATCATACTATCTTACTTTCTCTTGCAACCAGTGAACATTACAGGGTAACACTTTTCCTAAGCCTTTACAAAGCATTTAACTTAACCATAGCTATATAGGTTAACTAAAAATAAAAGGAGATGCCATTGAGGACCACATAAGGAAAAAAAAAAAAAGAGATACTTACACAACAGGAAAAACTTTGGGAAACACAACACTAGCCTCTGCTAAGTATTCATAAAGAATTCGTTGATCAAACTCATCTGTGGTATATTTGACCAGTGTAGCCTGCCAAGATACAAAAAAGTAAACAAACAACATGTTTACTTTGTGGCTGAATTGTTATCTGTTTGGGTGAGAAGCAAAAGACTGTCTTCCATTTATGTTTTTAATATTTAAGGGCCTCCTGAGAGTAGTCTGGAATAAAAACTTGGGGAAGAAAAAAACCCTCAAAAAGGGGAAATCCTTACTAGAACAGTAAGAAGAAGCGCTTGGATCTTCGGATCTGTAAGTACTTCTTTATCCAAGAGAACATTTGATTCAGACACTGAAACTTTACGTAAGTGTGGATGCTGCTGTGATGAGGAAATCCTCTGAGTTTCTATAGTAAAAAATGGAACATGACCAGCTGTATTAATCAAACACTTGGATAACCACTTCACCTAACATGCTTCAATGTTACTTCTAAAATTCAACAGTTTTTTAGCAGACACTTAAAATATCAACATAAACATTATACAGAATTACTATTCACCTACCCTAAAGTTTCAGCTAGCTATTTACAATGCTGTGTATCATATATGATACTTTCCTTTTCCTTTTTTTTTTTTTTGTAGAGACAGAGTTTCACTTTATCGCCCTTGGTAGAGTGCTGCGGCGTCACACAGCTCACAGCAACCTCCAACTCCTGGGCTTGGGCGATTCTCTTGCCTCAGCCTCTGGAGTAGCTGGGACTACAGGCGCCCGTCACAATGGCCAGTTATTTTTTTGCTGCAGTTTGGCTGGGTCTGGGTTTGAACCTGCCACCTTTGGTATATGGGGCCAGTGTCCTACCCACTGAGCCACAGGCGCCACCCCTATATATGATACTTTTTACACAAGTTTCAGGATAACTATCATTTTAAGGACTGCAGAGCTTATTTCAAAGGAGAGCACATGTTTCTATATTTCATCCTAAAGATTCCAAGAAATAGTTGGAAAGTATATATGATTTTAATGTACTTTCCCACCTAACTTCCAATGATGTAGATCAGTTATTAACTTTGTACTCACCCATTTCATAATCAGTTTCTGCAACTCTCCTCATTTTGGGTGGTGTTGTGATCCCTGATTCCATTTCTTGCCTTTTAGGAGCCTTTGTATCTGATATCAAGTGATCAAAACTTTTCCTTGTTCCTGTAAACAAAAGTTATAGAATATGGAAGTTCATTAAACAGTGCTTATAAGTAAGAATATGCTAAAAGAGAAAATATTTGGATACAAAGTGTTTATTAATCTTTCACTCAAGGACTCAAGGAAAGTTCAAGCACATCCATGAAAAGAAATTCCCTTCTTTATTCTCTATCTTTTTTTTGAGACAGAGCCTCAAGCTGTCCCCCTGGGTAGGGTGCTGTGGCATCACAGCTCATAGCAACCTCCAACTCCTGGGCTTAAGCGTGTCTCCTGCCTCAGCCTCCTAAGTAGCTGGGACCACAGGCGCCCGCCACAACGCCGGCTATTTTTTTGGTTGCAGCCGTCATTGTTGTTTGGCGGCATGGGCTGGATTCAAACCCGCTACCTTAGTTAGGTGTATGTGGCTGGTGCCTTAGCCACTTGAGCCACAGGCGCTGAGACTATTCTCTATCTTCTCAAAGGGTTTTGTTTCCATAGTTATCTGTTCCAGGACAGGATGTACCTTACTGGTACAAAGTATATAGAGATTAGATTTACTACATTGGAGGTAAACCAAACTCCACCAGCAAATACAATTATTGATACTAAACATAAGGGTATGTGCTGTTCAGTAGCAAAGACTGACTGGGTCTGAACAGCCTTTTCCTTCTTTCTTTCTTTTTTTTTTGGATACAGAGTTTTACTATGTTGCCCTCGGTGTCTCAGCCTCCCAAGTAGCTGGGACTGCAGGTGCCTGCTACAACGCCTGGCTATTTTTCTGTTGCAGTTGTCATTGTTGCTTAGCTGGCCTGGGCTGGGTTCAAACCCGCCACCCCCGGTGTATGTGGCCAGTGCTGTAACCACTGTGCTATGGGTGCTGAGCTGACCTTTCTTACTCTTACTTTTTTTTTACTCTCCACATTCTTCCTGGGAGAGCTCATTCTGCTCTCTTAGCTTCAACTATCTATGAGTTAATCCATTCTCAATGTTTACTTGTTTATTCCCTATTCCTGAATTCGAGAAACATCTTTTCTCTTGGATATATACTCTTGGATGTCCTTAAAAGATCTCCTATATAATATCAACAAACCTAAATGTATCATGTAACACAAACACATTAATACTGATCTTTCTGAGTGGAATCACTAGCTAGCCAGTTTCTGAAACTACAAACTTCTGACATCCTTCAGTGTTCTCTCTCCCAACCTGCCCTAATCATCAGGCACTAAGTCTTGTCAGAAATCTATCTTCCTCATCTCTCTCCACTTACAAAAATTAACTCATGCTGGATAAAAGATTTAAAACTAAATACAAAATAATAAAAACTCTAGAAGAAAGTATGGGAAAAACTCTTAACAATATCCACCTAGGGAAAGATTTTATGAAGAAGACATTGGCATTTGCAGCAACAACAAAAATAAATAAATGGGATTTGATCAAGCTAAAAAGCTTCTGTACAGCTAAGGGCACAAGAAACAAAGCAAATAGACAACCTTCAGAATGGGAGAAGATACTCACGTGTGATGAATCTGACAAAGGGCTAATAAACAAAATCTACAAAGAATTCTAGCAAATCAACAAGAAAAGAGCAATCCCCTTCTCCCATTAACACTGGGCAAGAGACATGAACAGAACCTTCTCCCAGGAAGACTGAATGGCAAAGATAAATGGCCAAAAAAAAAAAAAAAAACAAGAAAAAAATGCTCTTTGTCCCTAATCTCAGAGAACTGCAAATCAAACCCACCCTGAGATATCACCTAACCCCAGTGAGAATAGCCTACATCACAAAGTCCCAAAGCTGCAGGTGCTGGCATGGATGTGGAGAGAAGGCAACACTTTTACACAGCTGGTGGGACTGCAAACTAATACAGCCTCTTTGGAAAGAAGTATGAAGAATCCTCAAAGAGCTACAAGTAGACTTCCCATTTGATCTCTTAAACCCATTACTAGGTATCTACCCAGAAGAAAAAAAATAATTCTATCTTAAGGATATTTGCACTCAAATTGCAAAGATGTGGAAACAATCCAAGTGCTCATCAACACATGAATGAATTAACAAGCTGTGGTATATGCATATCACGGAATACTCTGTGGCCATTAAAAAAGTAGAGACTTTGCATCTTTTGTATTTACCTGTATGGATTTGGAGAACATTCTCCTAAGTATCTCAAGAATGGAGCCAGGTGCAGTAGCTTAGACCTGTAATCCCAGTACTTTGAAAGACCAAGGTGGAAGGATTGCTTGACGCCAGGAGTTTGAGACCAGCCTGGGCAAGACAGTGAGACCCTATCTCTATAAAAATTAAAAAATGATTTTTTGGCTTGGTGCCCATAACAGTGCCAGCCACACACCCAAGATTTGCCATTCCAATCCCTGGGCCAGCTAAACAACAATAGCAACAACAAAAAAATAGCCAGGCATTGTGGCAGGTGCCTGAAGTCCCAGCTACTTGGGAGGCTGAGGCAAGAGAATCACTTAAGCCCAAGAGTTTGAGGTTGCTGTGAGCTGTGACCCCACAGTACTCTACTGAGGGCATCATAGTGGGACTGTGTCCAAAAAAAAAAGGAAAAGTAAGCATCGTATGTACTCAATACTAATTTGAAATTAATAGGCCTGCACAAGAGAAAAATACAATTAAATTCAAGAATCGGGAAGGGGGGGTGGTATGCTCCCACCTAATGGGTACAATGTAGGTATATAGCACATCTTCAGGGTGAAGAACCTAGTTATAATTCAAGACTTTTACCTTACAAACACAATGTAACCTAATTATATGTACACCTATATTAATCCAAACAAAAGAAAGAAATCTATCTTTCCAAAGCTGATATATTCATTCTCTCTCTACCTCAGCATCCTGAGAAGCTGGGACTACAGGTGTGTGCCACTACACTCGGCTTCAAACATGATTCTTCTCCATTCCCCTATTGCTCCCACCTTAGTGGAGGCCTATACCATTGTCTGCTTGGACTGCTGTTATTAACTTTCTTAAAAGGCCCCTTTGCCAAAATCTCATTTCTTCACATTGCTGCCAGAAAGCTTTTCCAAAAAATAAAATTTGGTCTTGTTTCTCTCCTACTTAAATATTTCAGCTGGATACACAAAGCTAAATCTCTTAACAAAGTCTTTCACAATCGAGCTCCAAACCTTCTCTGGCCTCGTTTCCAATGCCTGACTTTTCTATTCATGTTATTCCCTCCTCTCTTGAATACATGCCCTTCCTTATCCTATGTCTACCTTGTAAACATATATTAAATCTTCAAGACACAATTCAAGTTACCTCCTCTCTATAGTTTTTCCTAGTTTGCCTAGATCCTCGGTTTCCCCCATCAAGACATCACTTTAAGGGCACCTAGGAATGTTGCTGTAACGGGCTGATTGTTAAGTCTTAGCCACCCAGCTACATTATGAGCTCTTTCAGGGCAGAGACCTTACCTTTTTTACCCAGCACATGGGTTGAATGACTTCGATACTACATTTTTTTTTTTTTTTTTTAAAGAGACAGAGCCTCATTTTATCACCCTCTGTACAGTGTTGCAGCATCACATCTCACAGTAGCCTCCAGCTCTTGGGCCTAGGCGATTCTCTGGCCTCAGCCTCCTGCGTATCTGGGACTACAGGCGTCCGCCACAATGCCCAGCTTTGGCTGGGTCTGGGTTTGAACCTGCCACTCTCGGTATATGGGGCCAGTGCCCTACTCACTGAGCCACAGGAGCCGCCTCCACAATACTACACTTTTTTCTGAAGTTAATTTTTCATTTACAACTTCCTTGGCATGAAAATCCTGAATTATAAAACACACAGTAACCAGGAAACTCCTAGAAGATTACTTATGACAAAGTACTCACAGAGGGAACTCAAACAAGTAACAGACCTATGTGACTGGTAACAGTGATTAACATTTGTAGTTTCTACCTCTTTACTGGTTTACTGGCCGGTTATTTACGTCATACTTTGTTATTTGTTCATTTATTTCCTCATGAACATAAACATTTCCCCCAAACCTTAAGATACTTAAATATGCTTGCGTGGCTGACTGAAGTCCACTGAATCATTCACAGCGTTGGGTCACTGAAATATGGACCCAAGGTATTCCAGTAATAATAAAACTTTAGCCAACAGAAAATAAGAACACCTTTGCATTTCCTGGCCCCATCCATTTATTTATTTTCAGTTACTGAAATGGGAAAGGGTCTTAGAACATTTTAGGTGCACTTTCCATAGACAAATGTTGACGTAAATGAGCAATATTAACTTTCAAGAATTATATCTTCTTATAATAATTGAAAAATACATTACTTTTTTTGTCTTTTCAAAGAAGACATGGTAAATGGTACTACTACAACTCAATATTATATTGATGGATTCTGTTCTCAAATGATAATTTTGGGAAATATTACTATATTTTGTTAAAAGCTCTGAGTGTAGCAAGACTCTTTCTTTCTTGAAGGTATTTACCTAAGGTCTCTGCTACTCTCATTCCCTGCTGCCCAGTCAAGTCAAAACAAAAGAAGGAAAACCATAATATTTAGTCTAAGAATTAGAAAAAAATTTTTTCAATATCCTATTTTCGTTTCTCTCTCTTACCTGATATGGCTTTTGTTTGCATCAAAAACTTTTGCTACATTGAAACAGAAAATTTTGATAATTTTGAACAGTTTCAAGTAATTTCCTGAGTGAAAATACCTACCATTTAAAAAAACTTTTTAAAAAATTTTACATAATTTAGATAAAACTAACCAAGCAGCTTCTTTGTGTTGGCCTGAGAAGGCTGCCCCATGTCCAAACTCATAGATTTCCTGGCTCGGGGACTGGTCTGGCCCACAGTTGGATAGGTGGCTGCAAGGTACCCTTCAGAACCTTTGGGGGAGGACCATGGCTGATTCTCTTTTAGTGTCCTGAGAGATTAAAGCAATCGAGAAGAATTAATCAACATGGTGACAAATACAACCACTGTATTTATTTGGCTTCCAAGTAGCTGTCCTATTTCCCAATGACAGCAATCAAATAAGTTAAAAACTGCACTTGAAAGGGCTTTAGGGGACAACTCAATGTATCCCTAGAAGTAACAACTTTCTTGCCGTATTATCTTCTATAACACATAAAAACAAATTAATTTTAAAAACTGACAAATAAGAATTGTATATATCTATAGTGTTCAATATAATGTTTTAAAATATGTACACGCTATGGAATTGCTAAATCAAGCTAATTAACATAAATGCATTACCTCACATACTTACCATTGCGGTGAGAATACTTAAAAGCTACTCTCTTGGCAATTTTCAAGTATACAACACACTGTTATTAACTACAGTCATTATGTTATGTAATAGATCTCTTGAATTCACTGGACTGTGTTTTTTTTTTTTGTTGTTTGTTTGTTTGTTTTTGCAGTTTTTGGCTGGGGCTGGGTTTGAACCCACCACGGGGCTGGCACCCTACTCCTTTGAACCACAGGCGCTGCCCTGGACTGTTTTTTTTAACCAGAGAAAAATCAAGTGTCAATAGGCAATTGAATTTTTGGTTTAAAAATCAAAACAACCAAACCTAAATTTATGCTTTTATGGGAACACAGGCAAACTCATTTTCCCCTTTTCATAACTCAAAGAAACATAATCATGGAATGACTAAAGAATAAGACTACTGAATATCAAGAAAACTTCTGCATATACTGTCAAAATCTCAGTGGGGGCTTTTTATTAAAAAGTAGGATGTTGATAAATTAAATAATATAAACTCCTGAACAGAAAATTATTTTTCTATGTTTAACACTGTCTTTATACCTTAAAGATACTTTCATTTAATTGAAAATATAGAAAAATCCCCAAATGATGCCATTTTCATGTAAATTCTTTGAGTTATACTGAAAAATATACTACCCCAAACCATGTACAGGAGACACAATTTGATTATTTTATCATCTAAATTTGTACTATATAAAATGTTTTTATAATTTTAAGAGTAAATACAACAAATGTGTTGGCATATCAATATTCTTTGTTCTTATAAATTTAAATAGCCCAGTTTTTTTTTTTTTTT